TTGCTTACTGTGTAGTTTGGTTATCAAGCTTTCTGTTTAGTATTAGTAATTGAGCCTTCTTATTTTTGACATCGGCTTTGACTTGGAAGAACTGTGATTCCACCATTAGATTATTTTTTTGGATTATTTTTTAGCGTTCTGTGTAAGCTCTGTAACAGCGTGTCGCTCAAAAAAAAACACTCACTATTGCGCAAAGAATACGTTTTCATTTTTTTTGAAGTTTTCGAATACTAATGCGCAGTGTTGTGCCTTCGACAAGTTATGCACCTTCCTGCAAATAATTAGGTTAGGCTCTTGGTGGTCATAACACTCAAAACTTCCAAGAAGACCTACAAAGATAATCTTTCATTGTATTGTGGTGTGATGATTTAGGGTGGTTTAAGGAATTAGGTATAGTGAATATAGCGAAAACTCGATGGCTCACAAGAATGCTAAGTTGTGGGCAAAATTCTTCGCCCCGGGTGGAATTTTCAGGATAGCGCGATTGCATTGCGAGGTTCTCATTGTTGGGTGGATTGATGCTTTTGCTTTCAGAAAGTTGTCGCTTTTACAAAATCTGATATTAAAGAGCATTTTTAGCCTCCGTACTGGTTTTGCCTTGATGAATTGAAGCGCCTTGTTGCCACTGAAGGTGAAACAGCTGGTCTTTCTCGTCTTCCTCCGTTTATTTTTGAAGTCTCGCATATTCTCGTCAGGGCAGCCAAGGAGGACATTGTTGATGGCGACCAGGTAAGGACTTGGTGTTTTGTATGTGACCGGTAATTTTTATGAGTGCCGGATACTACCAGCATGTTCTTCCCCAGCCTATTTGGCACTATTCACGTATTACAACCCCAAAATCTCAAAATTTTATTTTTCGTCGAAACTTCGTCTATAGGGGTTATTCGATGCCCTGATTACGAAAATGACATTTTTTTTGGCGCCATTGGCGCCATTTGGCGCCAGGGCTGTTTTCACCAAATTCGCTGTAAACTTGTATACAGGGGTTATTTGGGGTCCTGATCACGAATATAACATTCATTTGCTGGCGCCATTTGGCGCCTATTTTCCGCTCGTCTGCGCCCTCTCACTGATTAGCTCGCGATCAGGACTAAGCCTTTTTGGGGAGAGGAGTGCTCCGAGTGAATAACACTTCATCCTGTGATCTTATACGCTTTCAACATTTGCCACACGTTGCCTGGTTCACCCACCCGGAGTCCCCCTCCTCCTAAGGCTTAGTCCTAGGTATATGTACAAGTGAGAGAGCCCAGGAGAACGGAAAATATGCGTTGAACAGTGCAAATGCCAAAAACGAATGTCATATCCGTAATCAGGACCCCAAATAACCCCTGTATACAAGTTTACAGCGAATTTGGTGAAAATAGCCCTGGCGCCAAACTGGCGCCAATTGGCGCCAGATGGCGCCAACGCCAAAAATGAATGTCATTTTCGTAATCAGGGCATCGAATTACCCCTTATAGGCGAAGTTTCGACGAAAATAAAATTTTGAGATTTTGGGGCTGCAATAGTTGAGCAGTGCCGACTATTCCTCTCATTTTATAGTCTACGATATTTCTAGATAAAAGTTCTGATACAAGATTTGTGGGACAAGCGCGAAGCGAAGTTACGAACGTCGTCGTTAAAGCTGCTCTCACAGGTTTGTTACTTTTATCGCGCGGTCAGTGTTTTTTTACGTACTCCTACGGCTCAAACGTACGTTCATAATTGTGGAAGAGCATTCTTTATCATAATTTTGAATAGTCTTTAAAAAACTATCTCGAAAGTGCTAGGTTTTGGGCGAAACTCTTCGCCTTGCGAGGGAATCGAGCACGAAACTTCAGACTACGAGACCGATCCCCGCATAGAGCGAAGATTTTTGCCTGTAATCCAGCGTTTCTCGCTGGTGCTAGATACACACTCGCAACCATGGGTATGTGCTGACAGCTTTAGGCGCCTTCACGTTAGTTCCGTATATTCCTCTCAAGAGAAGAGCCCGGCGGAGCAAACTAACTTTTAGGAGAATTCCAAGAACCGAGTGTGATGATTGCTAAAATAAAGACACAGTATGCCCGATTCTTCATGGTTCTCAGCGAAAATCGAGCAGCTGGATCCGAGCGTTGCGCCAGCGAATCGAACTATGTACTACTAGTGACTCGACACTGTTTGAAAATGATGGGGCCCAACGTTTAAAGGAAGTCCCGCCACGTCCAAAGTGTGGTTCTTCAAGTGGACTTCCTTTGAACGTTGGGTCCCGCCACTTTCAAACAGTGTGAGTCGCTGGTACATCGTTCGACTCGCTGGTGCAACGTTCGATTCGCTGGCGCAACGCTCGGATCCAGCGATTCGCTAGCGAATCGCTCGATTCGCAAACTATGACATCGGCCTTAAGAAAAGCAGCGCTTCGACCGATACCCTCCCCTCCCAATGTTTGCGGTGTGAGCATGCGGTGCGCAGAAACGATAATGAATTCTGCGTGATTAGAACTCAAGATGAACTTTTTAGCATTCTCATGCTCATGTTCGACTGGACGCTGTGCAGCCCCTGGAGGTAGCCTCAATACGCCCGAATCTCTCGGCGTGTAAACATATTGCAAGATTAGTGCGAAATTTCCACAATGTGCAACCAGATTAAACGTATTTTCGTTCTCGATCTTCTTTCTGGTACAAGTTTCTTTTAAGGCACCAACCCTTTCAAAGTTGTGATTTATTTCTTTTGTACTAATTATTTTATTGTATCTTCTATCATATTGTACGGGTGTGAACTGAATTTCTTTCATAAGTTAGCGTCGTTATCATCTGACTTCGTCTCTTTGATAGTTTATTAACAGCCAATATGTCTGTTTCGTTGCAGTGTAAGTTTGCGTGCTCAAGATTCACTTTTGTAATGGTAATTTATATAAAAAATATACTTGAGTGAAAGAACGATGTACCATCGATATGTTCAACACGTTGACGGCAACATGTGCCCACACTTCGCATCTCGTTGGGACAGTATGGGCCATATATGGCGCACACCTTTGTAGTTCAGTTTTTTCAAGTATAGGCAAATGTTTGTATGTTTCTCATACTCTTTCTACAGATCGTACCTCATCATAACCACATACACACGGCCCGGGTCAAGGGTCAGATTTGTTCCAGTTAACCAAAAGCTTCCTAAGCCTTTCACCGTTTTCAGCTCGGCCATTTTTCTTTTTTTTTCTGTTTCCACTAACGAGTAAATAAAAAGAGTAGTAGGAAAAGTCCCACTCAAAAAGACCGGTATCATACTAAGCGAATGTAGCGAATTCCGAGGTACAAGCGGTGCACTAGCGGTTCGAGCGATGTACCAGCGACTCGACAGGCGAGAGTCCCTCTGATGCGCGATGGGTTCTTCTGCCACTTTTCTGGCGTTCACCGAGGGCATGCGAGGTTGGATGCACGAGCAGTACATCGTTTCAAATCACTGAGGTTCGCTCCTTGGATTTTCTGGTCGATTTTTCGCAAAAGTAGTTGACGACGGCCTTAATCTGGAGGTAGATAGTCGCAAAACGTTGCTATTACGCGCGTCCTCATGTGTTATTGTAACAACCCCAGGCCGAAATTGGTGGAGTAAGAGTTGTCGATCATGAAAGTGGGGGAACTGAATGGACCGAAAATGGAAAAAAAGTAAGCGAAATCGCCTATGAGGCATTTAATAAAGACCTCTTCTCGTCCAATTTGAGGAAGGGCGTGATTGGACAAGTTCAGATGAACACAGCCGCATCAGTATTTTGCGCGTATTTGTATTTAATGGATCTATTCGCGCTGTTCGTCGGAAGTCACGTTACATGCCGGTCTACGGAGCATTAGAGCGCTTGACCGAAAGCAATGACATGACTAAGAGTTGACGAATCTTCCAACGCCTTCTGCGCGTCTTTACGAGAACAGCTTCAACTCCAGCAACACTTCATACTTCTCTACTAGGGTTCATGCATCTTTCCACTACCCCATGTTGATGAGGGGTTGCTTGCCGGGACACTGATCTCGCCTCAAATCATCAAATATCCAGGGAACGAAATCCTTAGTGGGCACTCTTAAATTTACGGAATGATTACTGAAGATCCAGGGCTGATAAGGTTGCAGTGAGACTTAGAGATTTAAGGCACATAAATGTTGAATCATTATTTGTGAAACCACAGGACGTCCTAGGATCCTCTAGAATCAAGAAAAATCCCATAACTCAATTTTTCCTTCCGATCTTGCTTTGCTTGAACGGTGGGAACTGTCCGTCTGATATGCGATAAGGACCATAACCGCGCTTTCTTTTTGCTATCATTTGACATATGAAAGTTTCGTATGTAACGGCACTGTTACTCAATGCTCGGGGATTACCTTATGTTGCCATTCGTCTTCTTAAAAACTCTCACACTTTGTTGTTGGTAGTTTCCGCTTCTTATTTCAGTCTAGAGTCGAGCCTTCCTGTCCTTTCTATTGTTCTGCAGTTTTTTGCGACGGTCAATAGCAAAAGTTGAGAAGCGCATTGCAAGAAATTGTTGTGGAGGCTCTCCCTGACAGCTGTATGCAAAAACACGAAAGTCGGTTCCGATGCAGCGGGTTTGTAGGAACATAGGTCTTCCTCCGACAGTAACAACTTAGCAATAGGCAAACAGTTCGAAAGAAAAGCACACAAAATTTTCATAGTTTCACAAGAATGCTGGGTTGTGAACAAACTTTCGCCCCAGGCGGGACTAGAACCCGCACCTCTCGCTTTCCGGCAAGTGCGCTACCAGTTACGCTACCGGGGCACCATTTCATCCCAACTCAGCTTTTCATGGCATCATATGGTATGAATCCCGTCTGGGGCGAAAGTTTTGTTCACAACCCAGCATTCTTGTGAAGCATTCGCAAGGCGAACTGCGGCCAAAAATAGCAGTTAACAAAAAAGGCTTCATACAGTGTCTGTAACGGAGCGACAATGTCACGCTTACGTACTCTCCGCCACCCTGTACATATTGACCCTTGCCTCACCAATTCCGATCTTGACTTCGTCTCCTCCATGTAGTTTTCCAAGTAAAAACCAATTTCGAAACAGACAGACGAAGGGCATTTTAGCAACTATATGTTGTTATATGATCATGACTCTAGCGACATGACCGTTTTTCATGTAGTAACTTGGACAAGTTTTCAGTTCGGAGACAGCATTAATAAACAAAATGCTTTATTTATTAAACACTTCATATCCGCTCAATAACTGCGAGAAAAATTATCGCTCGTATTGTGAAGATCTTTGCTCTGAAGGAACAATGTTGAGAAAATATTAATCACGTTAATCAGTTCGCGCTAATTAATTCCACATCAAAGATGAGGGTGGAATTAGGTGGAATCGCTCCAGGAACTCCACCCGAGCCGTAGCCAAGATCGGGCGAGATTGTTAGCTTGGCCCGCTGTCCAACAGACATCTAAATTTCGACTTCCGCCATACTATTCCAATCCCTTTTGACTGAAAAAAAAATGTTAAGACAACAACCTGAGCTACGCCTTGATCCCATCCCTTGATAACTTCGCCCTTTCCGATCTTGAACTTGAATGGAGACCCACGATCACGTGAGCTGTCTACCTGAACATTTAATGAGTGAGGCGTTTAATGCAATAATGATAAAAGGAAGCTTACCTTCTTCCCATTTTGTAGGGTGAGGACATAGTGACAGGTTACGGTTTGACCCGTTTTGGGGAACGTAGCTCCTGAAAGCAGGCGTAATGAGGAACAGATTTTATAAGAAGGATCAAACATTTCTGATCAGACATATAAAAGATGCAGCGTAATTTCGAATATGTATATCTTAATGTTTCACCAAATATAGTTCGACCAGCATTACCAGTAGGTCTTGTAAGCTATTACATGATGTTTTGGCATAATTTTTGAGTAACTTTGCAATCGCTTCAAGCAACAACCCAGATAAAAGTGGTGGGATAACAGCGGTTGATAAAAGGATTGTGGAGGTCCTACTGACTGAAAATGAAAAAAGAACTAAAGCAAACCGTATATGATGGCCGTTGACGCATCGACAACAATGTGACGC